ATTAAACGGCTGCAGTATATTATACGTATGTGTATGGTTGCACGCCCCGCCGTACTGCTGCAGTAGTTGTGCGCACATAACTTATTTGTAAGACCGAACATGTCCTGCAGAATGGGTGGGCCCTAATAACGAGAATAATAAAAAGTATAAAAAAAACCCATCGGCCGTATAGCACACAGCCGGACAACCACGATACGATCGTGTACGACAATGTCGTTTTTCGTGCTCAACACCGCCGTTCTGACACACGACAATTATATATTGGCATGTGTCTGCAGTCACGGTCACTATCAATTTTCTTATCGAACAATATCTTACAAATATATAGGACTAGGTAGGTATAAAATATTATATATACATATATATATATGTTTATATTAAGCATATAGGTACAGTGTTGTACACGGTGTGCTAGTATAATACTATATATATACATTAAACACAAATAACCTATCAATATCAATCATAACAATAATAATATTTAAATACAAAAACAAAAAACACTTTTACTTTTTAGTAATAATATTACGTAGTAGGTACACACATAATATATTATAATGTATGCGCGTTGTTAAATAATTAAAATGTATGATTTATGCGCGTTTAACAAATATTACATTAATGTGTACGATAGATGCAGGTACTAAAATAAAATAATATTATATCTACTCGTTTCTGTTCCCTMGTCGAGACCACACAGTTTTCAAACTACAGTCGAGTCTCGATAACTCAGATTGTTTTTTGCCCCTAGGAAATYCGTATAATATACTCAATGCAATAATTGTCACGATAAGTCAAATTTAAAAATAGTTGAGCATATAAGTAACTCAAAGTCATATCTTAAATTTTATCATTAGGATCAAACATTTGTTGAAAAAAGGAGAGAATTATTCAGGAGAAAAAAACAGTAAAGAAAAAGTTACAATTACTTTGGCATTAAATATGACCGGCACAGATAAATTTAAATTACTATTAATTAATAAATTAATATCTATATAGCCATATAGGTATCTATATATTTTATAAAGCTTTTGTAGATCAATCAATTTTGATTGTAGTTGATAAATATACAAAAAATAACATTAACCTCGAATTAGTTCGTATTTTAAAAAAAAAAATCGAGTTATGTAACTCGAAAAATACATAAGTTGAATTAATTTTTACCTCTCTTTAAATTCGAGTTATTGAGACTCAGCACATGTCCCGAAAACATGCATACACATGGGGTTCGATGGATACGATAATTTTATTCACGTTTTTCTTTTTTTTTTTTTCATTACTTAGGGAAGTTTTTATCCCAATACACGTATGTCGCAACCACGAGTATATAGTAGATAACCACTAGAAAACCATCATGGTCACTACATATTATGCCATCCTATACGTCGTTGCATATTATTATGGATAACAAGCTATGAGTGATATACTAGGTAGGTATATATGTTTATATTATTGTATAATACTGTTGCATGTTTATTTTTTTTAGTTCTGGGAAGGGTACATATTTAATATAAGCTCCCAACACTTCTCTCTCTCTCTTTCTTCACTTACGACCTGAACGTTATTGGACATTGTGTATTACTCGATAATATGAAGTAAAAGTATTTATTCATATTTAACCTATAAAACATTGAATTAATTAATTTCATTATTAGCCGGAGTGTAAGATTTTTTTAACACAATTATTAAGCAATACATTTTTTATTATTATTCGCTATACTCGGTCTTTTGAGAAGTTTAATATGTTATATTTAAATGAATAATATTAAATGAACGAGGGTCAATGTACAGTTGTTGTTATAACATATTAATATTTTAAAGTTKCTAAAGATTCGGTGAAAGCTCGCCGTGAACAACAATATACTATAGTAATACGTGTCATATATAATATAATTATTAGGTACAACAATATTTTATGCATATTTTAAAATAAAAATTGTTTGRAACTTATATGAATGTAGTTGATATAGTTAGGTAAACATCTATTAGTATGAGCCATATTATATTATCTCAAATTCTAAACGATTATCATTATAATCGTTTAAGATCTTTTACTGTGACTAAATAACTAAATATTGTGTTTTATTTTAATATCATAAAATTATTTATTCGTAATTATATTTATGAATTGTAATATGATTTTTATGTTCAAAAAAATAAACATCATGMATTTTTTTCAAAAAATTACACAAGTACGCATTTAATAATCTGTTGAAAATTTGTATTGTCATTTAGTAATTTAAAGATAAAAAAAAACACTATGTCAACCTTATTAATTGTATTAATTGCTTTGTTATTGTGTGTAATTGCAATGTACTTACGCCTTTCGCTTGGAAAATCTGATAAAATTTTTGTAAGCTTATAGGTTGATCACCGCACAGCACGTAAGCCACAMTTTCTAACTGTTCAGCTAAGTCTCCTTGTTTTTCTTCCCTGTTGAAAATATTATAAATTTAGATAAAATAATTCAGCGTACCAGTTACTGGTATTGTTGTTTATTGTAATAAATTATAGCTTATATAAATTAAAACGTTACATCATCAGGAAGAATTATACTCAGGAGACATTATATATAGTGTAAAAACTAAAAGTCTTAGTTTTATTGGGTTTCTGTTCTTATAGATTACCTAGCAGGAACCTACTGATCAAATTGTTCAGAATTTGAAATACAAAGCAATGAATTTAATAGAAACCCTATCCATGACCCGGTAAGTAAATTTGGATTTAGTACAGACGTACAGTTATGTTATTGTAAGAATACATAATATCATATTTATGAAATATTTTACTAGCTATAGGTACCTGAAAAAATCAAATAAAACTGAACAGGAGTGTACAAAATACAATATAATGTTATAATTTATAAACAATATCGTTTTAGCAGTGGCCAAAAGTCAGTTTGATTAAATTGATATGTTTTTATAAATTAATCATGTAGAACTGTGATGTCTTACCTTTTTTGTTACGCGTGCCACTTTGGTAATCAATTATCTTAGAGCGGGCCACCAAATATATATATATATTATTTTATTATTATCATTACTATTATAAAATAAATAAATATAACTTTACTTTTTCTATAATATATTGTTTGATTTAAAATTTTTAACGGGTCACACAGAATACCTTCGTGGGGCCGTGGGTTGGGCACCACTGATATAGAATGTGCGTTCGTTAATTTTGCCAGTGCACCAATAATTATCTCACTAACCATTTTATTGGGGGTTATCATATAATTCAAATGTCTACGAAGTAGACGTGAGTAAATCATTTGTCACCGAATTTTATCATTACATTAAATTGCTCATATTTTTTATATATACATACCTATAGTGTAATGTTGTAAAGTATAACGAACCGCAACTATATACRTATAACTATAAATCATACGAAACCCACAGGAATATAAAGCTGATGAAGATTAAACTCGGCACGTCGGTTTTTTTTATTACGATTTCTATCGTTTTCGTAGCCAAGACTTCGGACTTATTTTATTATACCCGGTCGGGTTGGGCAATATATTCCTCAAAATCGGCATAATAATAATTGTCGTATACAATATTATTATCATTATTATTAAAAACGCGAGCATGCGTGTTTGTGGGAAACGTGGAGGACCGACCGTTTCTCAATAAGGAGCGCCGGCGTGACCGCAGCAGCGTATTTATACCTACAACAGCCTATTGCCACACACCGGTGGAAGTTAACTCTCCATATGCACCACACACACAAACACACACACACACACACACATGTGCGCGGGCCCAGGCGTTGGAGAGCCGCGCGAGTTTCAGACCCGACCAGATCAGAAGAGGGATAAGGCGTGCTCTCGTATTTTTTTTTTCATTTTTTTATTTTCTCCTTAATCCTAAAACAAAAGAAACCAGTTCTGACATGAGCACCGCCGTGTGCCGTAAGTCCGAGGTGTCATATTATTATTGTTGTTTACGGACTATCTCGTGTGTTAATGATACGTGCAGCAGGCCGCTCGGCCGATGAGGAGAATACAGTGTTGTCCGGCACGCCATTTAAAAGTATAGGCATTAGGCATATTATTAAAATAAATCTCGAGGATAAAACAAACCGGTAAAATTTAGGTGTTTATTATAATATASTATACGGATCTCGACGCAAATCTGTGTCAATTATTCCAACAGTCTAAGACTAGACATAATACAGGTATACTATATTATATAAAACGCACTAATATACAATACACATGATATATTTTAGTATATTCGTACGAGAGGTTCTTTAAATTCAACACGCATAGAGCTTAAAAAAAACGTTTACGGTTCGTATCTAAACATATTAGTTCTCATAATTGATACAGTTTTAAGTATTATATTATACTTATATTCAGCCACAGTGTATTTTGAGAATTTTCAGATTTTTTAAATATTACAATTACGTTATACCTAATATGTAACGTTATCGTGCGAATTAATTTTATTATATTTTTGCAGCTWATTTTTCGGATCGAATTCGCTGACTCACACTGAAATAGTGGCGACTATGCGTATAATATATACGTACTCTGCCGTTGGGATCGTAGGAGATGATTTATAAGGTTTTTATTAATAGTTACAACGAGTTCTCGCGCTTCGGATAATTTCGTAAAATCAAATCATAAACATATTATATGAGATTTTTTTTTTCGCTTTCTACTCAACGCACCTTTGGACGGGGTCCGGCTACTGAATATATCAACTGCAGATTAATGGGCACATTACGGAAACCTCTGAGCAGTGATCAATATAAACCGCCAACCGGTTCGACCCACGTCACCACAGTTAGTGGTATTGGAAACCATCGTGATAACGACTAATTAGGGCGAATAATAATTAAAAGATAAACACATATATAATATTATAATATTGTTTGAGATTATACGAGGTGTACATTTGTCCAACCGACCACCACCCGCTCGTTTACGCGTAGGTACCTATATTATATTATATTATAACTTATAACCATTGCTGTTAAATTACTTTTGCAGTTGTGTGCAGCAGCAGTCTCGGAAATATCGTATTATTTTATAGTCGACGCACGTAATTTGAAACTTTACAAAGTCGTCGGTTCGACACAATAGGTACCTACTATATCGTAAACGATACTATACACTATTAAAAATATGTATAATAAAATAAAACGTTTAAATCTCTATATTAGGCAATTTCGATGGGAATTTTAATGYCCGGAACAAAAAAGGACAGTATTAACTTTTCACCCGAAACGGTTATTATTATTTCGTAATTTCGTTCGAAATCATATTTCATTGTTAAGTCGAATCAAATAATACTACGTACTATGCATATATGTATAATAATCTAACTCATACATACATAATTATTCCTTGGTTGCTGTCACGTATTATTATTGAAAAAAACTGGYGGTGTATTTTGAATTTCGATAAATAACAAAAATATTAAATTTAATAGGCTTAACTTATAGATACCGTTCTTCATTCTTCGATTAACCTTTTACATTATGTAAAAAGCAGTATATATTTATATCCAATATTAATTAATAATTATTGCTATAGTTGGCTCTTTATTCTTTTTTATAAATGGAAAACCGACATTCGTAAAATGACTTTTGGACACTGTCAAAATTAACTCTATAAGTATGTTACAATATGATTTAACAATGATTTAACAAAATTTGCCCAAATAATGCCACATGATTACTATATATACCTATGATGCAAACATCACTTTAACATCATTATATATATAACCTAACCTAACGATATCCAACAAATGTAAATACGTTTCTTGTCTAACGCTAATTGCTTAAAATAATATTTATTTGGTCGAGTGTAAAGACGAACGCGTATATGAAATGATTTTATAGCAGTTACTTATATAAAAAAAAATATATATATATGGACTCTACACCACGAATAACAAATAAATAAAACCACCTGCTAAGCATTGGTTCGCGACATGATTATCGGAGARTTCGATCTTGAAAACAGCTTGTGGTACACATGATAAATGCCGTGGGAAACATCGTACAGTAGTCTTAGTCTTGGACACAAATCAAAGTAGTTTGATTAGTATGATTAGTTGTAAAGCATATGTTAACAACGGTTCAGTTACATGCAGCTTTCCTAAAATAAGCAGKTACATTGCGCTTGATATTGTCGTATTATTATTGTTATTATTATTTTAACCATAGCAGTGAATGAATTAATCAAAAGAAAGTATATACGCCTAGATACCTAATTAGTTTATATGTTTTTTATTCTAACAGATAGTTCGATATTCGTGTAAATAATGACGATTTTCTCGTTTGGATTTAAAGAGAAAACTATGCGACGCATTCTTGATAATGGGTAGTTTATGTAATAGGTATGAAAATATAGTATTATAGAAAACACCGCGAAATAATATGTGTAAAGGTGTACTTTATGATATTTTTTTAGCAAACAGACAATCGCTGTACCTATTATATACAATAATCACCGAACTAAATTTAATTTGGCTATATTTAAATGTTTATAATATGTATATATTATATAATAAATATATACAACAGTGCCAATGACTCTTCATATAATAATAATTTATTGTCAATTCAAAGTAAAATCATTATATCAGCGTTGACTGTTGTAGTTGAAGACCTAGAAATAACCGTGTACGTAATTTCTATCTGTTGATTCTCATTAAATACTTAGATGTTTTTACATCGACTATGAATCAGACAATATTGTTTTTTCTTCGCTCCAACAATTAATTACTATGCAAATATCGTTGACTCGTGTTGTCTGCTCTTCATGCAAAATACATTTATTTGAACGGRAACTGGCAACGAGCCTAGCGTGTATGGTGTAAACTGAACAGTAAAATAAATTTTTAGCAATAAAACTTATAAAACGCAAAAAGATATATCTACGACCACGCAACTCCATCAGACTCGGTTACATCTGTTTTAATTAACTGCAGATTCCGCATAATTGTGAAATGTACATGCAGGTATAAACGATACACATTCCTAATTACTTTAATTGGATTTAAAATTTACATTTCCTACAGTACCTACATTAACTACAACTTACGAGATAGCTACTATTATGCATGATTAGAGCAATGATAATAATAATATACACTATATCACTGACACGGAGTTTATAGTAACAAACCATCTGCGGTCCGTTGTACAATTATTTATGTACCAGGTATAATATACTTATCCACATAATGTACAATAAACATAATTTAATTTACGAAATTATTTTTCATATTTTGGAAATAAAAAATAAAAATTACCTACATTTCCTTTAGTAGATACCGACACACAACAAAAATAAATGTTTTATTTACTGTGCTAAACAAATATTTATTTTGAATATATTTTTTTTTATTTATTTAAATGATCAATTTTATATTAAATTTTGATTAATGTTACTAGAAACATTATTTTATGATAAGCGAGTGATGTGTTTAGTTTATGTTCTAAACCTAATCTTAATTTGTTTAAGATTTAAGAACATATTTAAAATGATAAAGATTTAAATTGAAATAGTAATTTTAATTTACTATAAATTATGATTTTATTCCAAAAATAGGTGTATCAAAACACATTATTTAAAATCAAATTAGGTATAGTAAAAAGTCGTATTTAAAAAAATAAATAATTTCCTAGGTAATTTATACTGATATTAAATTATTTTAAAAATAACATCAGATTATAAATTAGTTTTTAATTATAAAACAAAAATTAAATAATTCTAAGAGAGTATATATGTTTATTATACTCTCTTAGAATTATTTAATTTATTATTATAGTGATTATTATATGTTATGGTATATTATAATAATATTTACCTATAGCTCAAGTATAAAATAAATTGTGATATATAAAATATGATTTTTATAACAATTAGGTATATAAGGCGTAAGTTTAAATTAAATATAAACATGGCAATTTTATTTTCAGAAAATAACATTAATATGTTATTTACATAAAACTATACATTTTTTACATTACAATTAAATRCTATTAACAATTAAAAAATAATTCTGGTATGAAGTGTACGAGTATTTTAAGACTATAACGCAATGTACCTATATGATGGTTATGTAATAAAATAGTTGGTTTTAATTTTATGCGATATTTCTGCACAGTGTTCCACTTGTTTTTATATCGTTAAAGTAGTAGTTATCTAAAAACTATACGGATTCACATGAGTACCTATTACATATTTTTTTATTTTTTTTTTTTAAAAAAAGCTTTTCATCAGTAAGATTATTTTTAGCAGTAAAAACGGATATTAAATATGTTGTCTACACAAAATACGCAATTACCCACCCGTGTTTAATGTCCGTTTATGTTTTTAATCCTCATCGTTTTAAGTGCATGTTTATATATACTTTATATGGATAAGAGCAGATAACGTCGCTTTTGAATTTATATACCTATATTTTCATTATAACCGGTTAATTTTATCCTATATGCATAAATAGTTTAATTAGATTTGACATATTATTAGAAAACACGATAGCAAAAATAAAAAYAAAATATAAAACTGTTTGCCATAAACAATGTACGTCAAGATATTCAGCATACTTTAGCCGGTAGAGTTTGTATTTCAGTTAATTAAAGCATAATTTATAAGAGTGCCTACTCTGAAAATAATATAATCTCAATTGGCGTGAAGTATGAAAATATTGTCCTAAAAGATTAACAGACTGGTATGGGTCTACGAGAATAGTAAATAGGTATGTATGCTTTGACTTGTTTGGATACAATTTGAATCCATATAGCTATAGTGCATTWATTACGAATTATTAAATTAAAAAATTWAGACATATTTTCATTGMTAATTATTGAATACTWATAATATAAATTAYTAGAAACATTTTGAAGTAAAACATACTCACAGTAATCTCTCTTTTAACGATTGTATCCATTGTTCCTGRATGAGTACTTTTTCTTTGTCTTTGTCAAATAATTCAAACAATATTGATAGCACCTCCTGTAAAATCAAATTCATAATATTAGACGAAATATTAAAAAAAAAAAATTAAAAGCCAACGAAAGTTAGCTGATTAAATTTGTTAAATCGAAAATCAGAATATAATCGAAAAATAAAATTTTCATCGGATTTKTTGCAATTTCACCATWTGAAACGTATATTATTTTATACCGCGAGTGACACGAAAMTTATAGCTAAACAAAAATAACCATTTAAGATGTATTTAATGCGGATATAAACGAAATAGTTATCCAAAGATTGCAAACATTCTTAATAAGACGCACGTGCATAGGATTGAAACAAAAATTAACCAAACGGAAGCCCAAAGATCGTTTGACAGCCCTCGGGTCACGCGATGGTTAATAGTAGTAAATATTTCCATGCTATTGTGTTGTGTTTGTCGGCCACTATATAGACATACCTACAACAACTGGACCAGAAGTAATTGAATTTATTTTTTGATGYCGGTTGATTAATGGACTTACAGTGCGATTCAAGTGGCTTCATTTGGTGCACGATTATGATATTCTTCCGCACCTTGCAGCCATCAGAGACATGATAAGAGATCGAAAAATATATAACGCTCCATAAAATTTCATTAAAAATGTAGGTTAGATTAGGCTAGGTATACCTATACAGTATACACAGGTGGRCGTTTATTCCAAAACCATAAAATGAATTAAATCGCGGTCGGGGGATATATTGTATTTCCCATTRCAYGTGCAAGACAAATCTCCGATGCCATTTACATATTTTTCTCAAAATTTTACCACGTTTTTAATTAAATTTAATGGAATAAACTGGAAGTCCCTGACTTTTATTTACATAATAGGTACACCGTTCAGATCAGAATTAATAAAGAAACTATTTTTTCGTAATCTAAATTCCTATAAATCCGGTCAAAAGTGTATATTATACAGCGAATGTTTAAATACATATGTGTATCAAAAACAAAATATGATAATTTATGATAAACCAATGACATTTATTGCAATTTTTTTYGTTCGAATAATTTATTCGACCGATCTATTATACATTTAATTTTCGACGCATTTCTTAATTTTATATATAGAGTGCAAACATGTATATAGAAGCATTATATGTTTTTTTTTTTTTTTAGAATCGATGTCTGTATAACGTCGTTTGGCATTTACCCAATAGACCGTAACATAACAATATTTATAGTATCTATACAGCCACTGCAGTATATGTATCATATATGTACGTGTTTGAGTCAAGTGGGTGGTCCAGTTTTCGTATTTTAGGTGACCTATAACTGTGTTTGGTAAAATTTTAAATTACGATCGTAATAAATTTAGTACTCGCTACTTATTATTACGACTCGAGTGGGTACTACCTTTATTATGAGTTTACGAATTATACTATATGCGTGATGAATCGAGAACTCCATGATGAAATAATAATAATTATAATATTATATAGTATATAATATATATACAAATATTTTATATATTAAATAAAGTATAATATGTAGGTGACAGGTTAAGTGTGGTTAGGTTAGGTTATGATATTAAATGTACATATATTGTACATATCATAGTGGACTCTTGCTGCGTATGTACAGAACGGAAAAGCTGGTGTATAATATCGTTGACATACGTTTTCAATATCACACGATTARGCGAAATATGCTACACCGTTATAGGTATATGAGATAAGTTAGGTATTGATAAGGTACCTATATCCACAGGTGGGTAGACAACTCGCACAGGTAGGTACACATACGCGTGTAATCAAACACACACACATTATAATATAAACGTTTTTATGCTACGTACATGAATCATAATATGTACAGCGACGGATACGTTTTAATTACAAAACAGATATGATATATTATGACTGGCCTAACGGTATATATACCTACTCGCTTTATAGCTGTACATTATATAATATTAGGTAGGTACCTATTATACGACGAATACGGAAATTTTCATTTGCGTTTTAACGCGAAACACGTATATTTTAATATTATACATAAAAAAAAAATTAAACACATATATAATATTATGAACTTATAATACATAATATAATAATAATCATTATATATATATATAGGTAGGTGCCTCCTATGAATATGACGTAGGACGCGTAATGCCGTACGGTGTGAGCGTGACCGGAGAATATACGGAAAATTATAATAATATAATATATATTTATGTGTAATATATGTTTGACACGAAGAAAAATATACATCCACACGACCATCGCTGCGGCTAAGTGCAAAACACGAAACCGCCTGTTGTATGCATATCATGGCTGTATAATATAATAGTGTTGGACCCGCGATAAATTATAACGCGGAGCGAAGGAAAGAAAAAAATTAAATTATTCGCACGCTTTATAATAATATTATAATATTGTATCTATAGTAAAAAATAATAATAACGTATACGTATACGAATGTGGTTATCGCGGGCCGCGGATATAATATAATATGTCTTCTCGCGCCAACTGCTGCCACGCGTGGTGTTAACTGAGCGAAAAAACGGATATAATAATAATAATAATAATAATAATATATTCGCGTTTACACGCCGAAGTCATCGTCACGCCGTGGTCGTCCGTCCATCCGCGTGATGTTAATAATATTATTTTCATTCTCGTGTTTTTCGTTGGGCGATGGTACGCGGTGAGTATATAATTTTTTAATAATATTAAATAATTGTATTAATAAATAATATTATATAGGTGTGTGTTTGTCGGCGGCCGCGTAAACATATTTTGTGTTGACGTCGTTACATCACGGTGAATCGACGGAAACGCATGTTGGGAGGAGAGAGAGAAAGAAGTGTATGTGTGTGCTGAGAGAGAAAAATCCATTAAAAAGTAGATGGGTGTATAATACTGCAACTGCTACAACACACGACGATTATAATATTAATAATAATAATAATAATAATAATAGTAATAATAATATTATACATAGTATTATAGGTATAGCTATAGGTACCTCCTCCGAAAACAGGACTCCGCCGAGCTAAACATGTATATACCTACCTGTTGCGGTCGTGTAATTATTATTATAATTCGCGCAAAGTATGATGGTAGGTAACATACGATGGATAATATTATGACGATGATGTCTATCGTACCGATCCTCTCCTTATACCAACCTAGGTATATTATGATAATATTATTAATACATTATCCTCTCACTACGACGACGACGAAGAGTCCGTTCGCACGTAAGTATATACATATCTATTATACACGCGTACGTTTAATATGCAAAATCATAATAATATGACGATGACGATAACGATGCGTGTAGCGAATTTTGCGTAAATTAAAATATTTGCAAAATATACAATATTTATAATATAATAACGATGACGACGACGATGATGATAATAATCGTAACATGTGCATGTCTTCTGCGGGGGTCGGTTACTCGGCTATTACAATTTATATCCGTGTATATTTTCGCGTGCGCTTAGAGCCGCCGAAGAATTTGCACCTACTTAACGCATGTCTTATTATAATAATATTATAGTTATGATGTGTTCGTAATAGACGTACATACGCACGTGTATGGTGTACGCAAAATGGGCGTCACCCGTTTGAACGTGGGCACCTCTATATTTTTGTACCCTAAATTTACTATGTTACAAAAGTACATTTTTATATTTTTAATTGTTCGATAAAATTATATTATTATCTAAAAAAGGTATATTGTTTTTAAAGTTTTTAAAGAATTTCATTTTTTTTCGATACTATTGTATCCGTTATCAGTTCAATGCTTTTTCTTRAAATTGTTAAACAATAATTACTTTAAACAAAGTAAGACGTTATACGATCGTTGAAAAATCTTTAAACTAAACGTACTTAAATCTTAACAAATGTGATACGCACATTTTAACTGAATCTAATGGCTATAAATTGTTATTAAGAAGCTAATTTGAACATTGTATACAATCTCGCCTCACTTCCTTGACCGGAAATAATAACGAAGCGCGCACTCACTCCCCGCTACGACGTAACAACGCATCCAGATTTCTTATGAATGTCCGACGAATGATATTATCATCGTTCATCGACATAATTGTCATCGTTATTTATAAACGCCAATCTCCGACGGTTACCAACAGCACGGTTACGGTCGGTTTAACAGGACGCGCTATACAGATCCGCGACAACGTCACAATCGTGGTCGTTCGGACGACGTTTGCGGTATTTACATGACTACACTACAGTACACGTGCCCATCGATACAACTGTACAAGTAGCATGCACATTGCACCATATCATTAAAATATTCATGCACAGAGTGATTTACGGAGCTGGCACACCTCATGTTTTCCTTTAATTATACATTTATTCAAAATACGATTTTTTTAAATTTTTGAACACATTTCAAGAGATCAGGACCATATAATAATAATTATTATTTTAAAATTCTTGGTATTTTTTTGTACTACTCGGGAGTGTCCAGCGGTAATGCAAACTTTTGTTTCATTCAAATTAAAACCCCTTTGCCATCAATAATTTAGCGCCTCAGTAATATTTCTTAAATGTAATGACTCAGCATTTGAACGAGTGGTTTYTCAGTTACTAAAATTAAAATGCTAATAACGATATTAATGTCTTAAAAATAATTTTGGAAAAATATTAGTAAAATATCATCTTGGGTCTAGTATTAAATACTACTTTAATACTTGGACCATTTTCACAAATTATAAGCGTATGTCGATATATTAATATATTCATTACTAAACCCAAACCCATTATTAAGATCTCCCTTCAGTATGCACAAACTTGAATGATTCAAAAACTACTCGTTTAGATTTTGATTTTGATACRCCAACACGTGAAGAAAAAATATTCTTTAAATGAGTTATAGTAGAAGAGATGGATTCTTATTTGAACGAGACAGGCATCTCCACGCAGGACACTCATTTAGTATGTACTTATGGTTATAATACAATAACTTCAACAATTTAAAAACAATATTAATATGGTTTTTAAGCATATATTTC